GATATGTTGAACTTTAAGTCCTTGCAGAATATGAAGGAAAAAATAATTATATAAAAGTAGAAATAAGCATTTACATATTTTTACAAAGAAATTTAGAAACCTAGTCATATATGGAATTGTAAGTCCTTATATTAGGGAGATAATACGATATTTACAGATGTGGGTCTGGTGTATTTCACTAATAAGTATATCTTCAAGGGGCATCCTCCAGAAGATTTTTGAATCCAGCAGTTAATTGGAAAGATTCTCACCCTGACTAAGTATATATACTGATACCTGTGAGATAAGCAACTGCACTGAAGATAATCTGTAATCTGCAATTGCAGTTTCATGCTTGGAGTGCCTTTCATACAGGTCTTCTGAATACGGGCTGTGTGTCATAACACGCCAGTTGCTGCTGTGCTGTCTCTCAGGTAGATGATTGTTCAAAAAGAAGGGTGTGGTGAATGAAGGCAAGAGACAGGAAAAGGAATGTTGTGGGACTGTCCTGCTTCAAGGTTGTATATGGTTACAATTTTGGACTTATGTGTAAACATAAGAAGTATATAATTCTTTATGCCTATTTTTTAAAATATATTCTAATTTTTAAATGTTTTTTTCATCATATTCTGTAGGGACTCAAAGTTCAACATATCAATACTGGATGAAAAACACCTGTTCCGTGTTATGCCTAAGATGTTTGATATTCAGACAGACAGTGAGGTTAAGCTTAACAGCTTAGGTTGTATAGTAATAACAATAAGCTTGTCTTCTGGATGGCTAACAACCTAAGTTTGCAGACCAAAATTAGAGAAAAAGGAGGGCCGCAAGGAAACCCAACATTTTGGCCCTAGCCTTCTAAGGTCAATTCAGACTCAGGACATATGAGAATTTGTAATGTCATGTAACTCAGTAGTGTTCCATATTTTCTGATTAAGGTGATTATGGGGCCAAAGAGGAAAGTGATCGATGATGTAGAGTGTGCCTAAGGAGAGTCACATGGAGAGAAAACATTCTCTCAGGCTTTCACAGAGAGCACATTGGCCAAGCAATGGCTGTGACTCATCCGCATGGCTGACACTGACAAAGGTTCTAGAATCTGAGGTACAGGATCTCAGGATAAGTCCTGAGGGGATTTCACTGACCTTCTCAGATCCAAAAGCTACAATTCTTGTTGCATAGGTCTTGCTTTATCTTGGTCTTAACCATCCAGCAGAAAAGTATAAAAACGAAGTACAAGAATTAAAGCCATGTTGTTATGTTGAGCTGTAGGGTACTCAGGTCAAAAATTTCTGACATTGCCAGTCAAGCAGAAGACCCAATACTATTATGGGCTACTGGACTCTTTTAGAATATTTTGCTGAGTTTACATACCTATAATATTCAAATAACAGAACTTAACAAAAAAAGGAGATACAGATGAATGTCCATTTTGTGTCTGTGTATTCAAAGTGGTTAAGATAGACATATAGTTACATTCTTTTAGTGAATAGAGGGACTTGTTCTAATGGTGTTCGTAAATAGGATATCATGTCCGCATCTTGTATAGCAATTAACCACTAGGAAGAATGTATGCAATGTGTTAATTATTGAAACTGTCCTACCAATTTGATGTGAAACTGTCTCATTGCTATTTGTTTTTCAGTAAAATTATAATAAAAAATGCAAAAGCATGGCTTTATTGTTTGAGAAACTTTATGTATTTCATGACATAACATTCAATTAATCTAGAAAATTTTCCAATTTACTTAATATTTTTATCTTAAAATATAAATTATAAGATTTATATTGTCAAAAACTGAAAGGGGGGCTGGGAAGATATCTCAGTAGAATAAGTGCTTGCCTGGCAAGCACAAGGGCCTGAGTTCAACCCCTGGATCTGAGAAAAAAAAAAACAAACCTGAAAGAATCCAAAAAATGACATGTCATTTTTCACTCACAGACAATGTTTGTCATATTTCCTCCCTCTTCTTGCAATTTACTTTTGTTTCTTAATATTCACCCAATATTTTGGTGAAGCAAAAGTACACCATAAATATTCTTACGTTCCAACTCTCTCAGAATATGAAGCAATTCTCATAAGACTATAAGTTTCAATGCAAATTCAAGCCCTGCTGAGTTCCTGGTCCAGATGCTTCCTTATGGCCATGTTACTGCTTCTAAAGACTATACAGATCTTTAAAAGTTCCCTTAGTGTTCTTTATTGTCTAGTTTTAACACAGAAAGCTTCATATTCACACAGACTTACCAGTAGTATGGGCTAGCGTGATTACTGCCATCTGGCTACTTCCTCACATTCATAGTTAAACTCCTTCTCCTGTACCTTTTCTATTCTTTTCTTTTCTTTTCTTTTCTTTTCTTTTCTTTTCTTTTCTTTTCTTTTCTTTTCTTTTCTTTCCTTTTCTTTTCTTTTCTTTTCTTTTTTGAGAACCTATTGCCAAAGAGCTCTCTCAGAGAACCCATTTGGCCCCAGATGTGGCAGGGGCACTCCTGCAGGAGGTGATGACCAGTCCCCCGCCCCACCTTCAGACCTTGCGTCTTGTGCCACCAAAGCTTACCGTGCCTTTGCTGATGATAAAGAAGGTGTCCCCTCTTGCACCTTGCCTGATAATGTATTCCCCATTTTCATAGTGGGTCTGAAAAATAGAAATAGAACACAAAATTTAGGAAAGGAATTCATTACCAAAACACTCAGATACATCAAACATCAGGCCCCAGGGATGTATTTATTGAGATGGAATTTTACCGGAGTAGAAAAGTCATTACATTTTAACAATGGACAACAGTCAACAAAGGCTGTAATTACAAAGATATGACATCTTTAATGCTTATTGTAAAACTCTCTGTGAATATCATTTTGCTGGGTGATTATATTCATGTCTTTAAATTTATTCAAGTCAACTGCTGGATGAAAATATCCTTTTCTCCTATCAACTAAGCATGAAATAAAATAGCACAGATGCTAATTAAACTGGTCTTTCTGTACTATTTTCCTTGTCAGTTGCTTTTGGTTGCAGTGGGCTGATAATGATAGCCTTTATTTTATTTTATTTTGCTGAGAAATTACGACGACATCTAATTCTCTCCATTTGAATGCAGGTTGCCTTTTCATGTGGGCTCGATGGCTCAGGATAGTTTTAAAGGCACTACTAGACATCTCAGGGTCCTTGCTTCAGCAACTTAGTTTCAGCCCTGTTAAGCAGAATGTCTTAATTTTATGGACTGAATCTGCCCAGCATTTGCCCAAGATAAACTACTGCATGCAGAGCAAGGTAAGGCTGTGGGCACACCAACACAGCCGGTGGGTCAGGGTCCTGCTCCGGACATCACCCCTCAATTCATTCCAGGGTGAGCATTACACCTCCAGGGAACAGAAGCAATTTCTGTACGGAAAGGGAGAAGAAAGTGCATTGCTGGGCAATGAGGCATGACAGAAAGTGGTTCAGCGCCTTCTCGCCCTTCTTTTCTCTGAGCTTCATACGGGACCCATATCTTGGGAAAGAAAACATTGCATGTGGCAGGAAATAAATTTCATGGCTTACACACAGGATCCACTGGGGTTCTTATTGTGCTTTTATTTTAATACCATTGTTCTTAACACTCAATTCCAGTCTCCTGAAATTCTTTCATTAATACTTCATATTGAAATAGCTACTATTTTATGAATCTAAAAAGTTAACATTTACACCTCATCTGTCACTTATTATTTTCATTCACAGATAATTCATTTTTTTCTTGTAATGGTTTCCTTAATAAAAGTAGTTCTTATTTCTCTTTCTCAGTCTCAACTACCTTATGATACATACAAAATCTGGTGTATATGTTCAAGACCATTTTACTATTGTTTAAAGAGCCACAACCTTTTATTTCAGAATAAAAGTGGGAATATATAATGCACAGTATTCAATGGATTTACTCCACTGAACAAGATTCTTACAATCCATTTTCATGTCTTGCTGTGTTAGAATGGACAGATATTACAGCATACAGATTGTTAAAACAAAAGTGCAATAATGCTCATTCAGGTATCCATTCAAGAAAAAAATTTTAACCCTGGTGTGGTGGAACACGCCTGTAATCTCAGCACTCAGGGGCTGAGGCAGGAGGATCATCATGAGTCTAAGACAAGCCTGGGCTGTGAAGTGAGCTCAATGCCAGTCTGAACTGCATAGTGATATCTTGTCTCAAAAAGAAAAGACAAGAAAGAAATTTCTGTGTCATTAAGTAGGGGGTTCTTATAAGGCACTGATCATCCGAAGATGAATTAGAGAAAATCTCTTAATAGTACTATGAAATAAAGCTTTCTCTGATGGTGGAAGTGTTCTACTGTTGTATTGTTCAATATAGTAGCCAATCACTACTTGGGCACACAAAACTTTGAAATAGTTTAAAATGTATTTAATAGTCATCAACTTACATTACAATAATCACACATGACTAGGAGATTTTGAGCTGGCTAGCACAGGTGACAGAGTTGCAATTTGTAGCAGTTAGGCCGCAGAACAGAATGGGCTTTCCTTGGTTTCCTGATCTTTCCTTCCTCAGGAATGGAATCCAGTGGGTGAAACCCCAGCCCTCCCTCTTCACTCTGCCCTAGAAGAGACTGACCGACTTTTCTGAGCCATGGACCGGAGAATCAGTGCCTGCCCAGCCACAGCTTGACTCCCTGCCCCTTCACGGGGGGAGTTTCCCACAGCAGCTGGGCCTCCCCTGCTGGTGCCCTGGGGGACACTGCTCCCTCACAGTGACCAGGTCCTGTCTCAGCTTCTGAGACATGAAGGATAATTTGGGGCCATTTCATGGCCCAGCTTGGAGGCCTGTTTGGCTCTCACATCTAACTTACTTACTCTATTTTGGATTTTATCATTTCCCAACAAAGCTAGCACTTTAGCCTCGTTTATCTTTAACTTTGTTATTTATTTTATTTTATTTTATTTTATTGAGAAACAAATATCGATGAGACAGTTTCAAAACTGATTAATAGGACAGTTTCAATAATTAATACCTTGTACATTGTTATCTTCTTAGTGGTTATCCATAGTACAAGATGCAGATAGAATACCCTGTCCAAACACTATTAGTACAAATCTTTCTTCTCATTGAATTAAGCGAAAGTAGCTATATATCTATCCTAACTATTCTGCATATACAGATACAGAATGGTCCTTCTTTTGTATCCCCTTTTTTTTGTTTAGTCCTGTCAGAAATGGGTATTCCATTGGCATCTAAATACTATAGGTGCATGAATTCAGCAAAACAATCCAACACTGTCCAGCAGTCCACAATAGTAGTGGGTTATCCACAGAAGTTGTTGACTTTCCTTTGGGTCCTAAGTTAAAACTTCTCAAGGGCTCCAAAAATAACCCAGTAGGCATTATGTCACACATTTAGATTCCCTGAGAATATAACTCCTGAGGGTCGCTGACTCTTAGGGGCTTCCCTATGGAGGGTCCTGTGTCCCCAACTGAAGGATGACACAGAGTTCCTGGATATTCATCAGGAAAAAAGCCACCTCATGAAGGGCAGCTTATTATGGTCTGATAATAGCCATGAATGTATATAT